ATAATACAGCCTTTAGATGTCTAGGCACTGAGCAGTGTATTACAGTAATACAGCCTATAGATGTCTAGGCACTGAGCAGTGTATTACAGTAATACAGCCTATAGATGTCTAGGCACTGAGCAGTGTATTACAGTAATACAGCCTACAGATGTCTAGGCACTGAGCAGTGTATTACAGTAATACAGCCTAAAGATATCTAGGCACTGAGCAGTGTATTACAGTAATAAGCCTATAGATGTCTAGGCACTGAGCAGTGTATTACAGTACATTTCATTCTTTTTGTACTTATTTTTTTTTGCATCTGAGAAATGTGTACATTTTTATATAACAGATTTGTCAGCACAGATGACAAGAAAGCCCAGGGTACAAAGAGGGATAATGAAGTATTGATTCAGCGGAGGAAGCCAGGGGGGCTAACTGTGCCATATAGAGTAATCGACAACCCCTTAAAGCTTTCTCAGGATGACTGGTAATGACCTCTCCTGATTTATCTGTTAGTTGGAAGTGTGGATGTTACATGTTACTGAATAGCCAAAAGTCCATCCTCTCATCAAGTCAAATTTTTGGCAGTGGTGTGTCTAAAATTTAAATTCATCACCATATTGTATCATGCATGTAGTTTTATGTCCCTTTGTTTTCATGAATTATCAGAAGTACATATGATTTAGTGTATGATTTCACTAAATTTCAAACTAGTTAAAATATTAATTTTATGAAATTATATTTCAGGTAGAATTCTTATTTCACAACTAAACTATATTAATTGTCACTGTTAATTTTTTGTAGGGAGAGAGTTGTTGCAGTGTTTGTACAGGGTCCTGCATGGCAGTTTAAAAACTGGCCCTGGAATGGAAATCCTGTGGAAATATTCTCCAAAGGTAAATTATCACGTCATGTTACAGTATCCCTGAAATTAAATAATTCACATGAAATATCCTGGGGGGTTTCAGAGGATACATCTTTGTCAAGTGATTTTGACTTGTAAAGAATCTTTGATACATAGGGTTGTTTTCAAATTACACTTTCTTCTCATATCAGAGATCTCCTGTAAAAGAGAGCAGAAAAAAGTATGCCAACTTGCTTATACATTAAACTGGCAAATCTGAAGCACAGTATACTATAGTATCTGCATGTAAGAGTTTGTAAACCAGGAATTGTTAAGAATCTGCAAGAAATTTTTGGTGATTTGCAGTGAAAGCCTTTCATTTGAAATGGGGAGAACTTCCCTTGGAGGCCAATGTACAGAAATGGGCTGTGACAGTTTTAAATCTGGATAGAATGAGACGACATCTAGACAGAGCAACTCTCAACACATTCTGGGAAGTGTTAGACAAGTAAGTTTAATACTTTGTTAGACATGCAAGTTTACTACCACGAAATATTGGAGTAGTAAGTTTACTTCCACAAATTATTAGACAAGTACTTTTACTTCAACAAAGTGTTAGACAAATACATTTATGTTTACTACCACGGAGTGATAGACAAGCAAGTTTACTACCATTTTCACGCAAGTTTATAACCACAAAGTGTTGGACTAATAGGTTTACTTTCACTATGTTTTAGACAAGCAAGTTTATTAACACAGAATGGTAGACAAGTAAGTTAACTATGTTAAAGCGATAGACAAATAAGTATGCTGTTAGTTTATTACCAGAAAGTTTGAATAATCAGGTTCATCCCTTTTTTGTCCCAGTTCAATATTTTATTAATTAAAAAGTTATTCTAAAGAAGCTCTTATTGTTCAGTATGTACATTTATGACTGCTTATACATGTACAGTCAAATCTTCTTATCTTGAACTTGATGGGACCAAGAAAAACTTCATGATATTACAGAGGATTTGAAATATTGAGGGTAAAATAAAAGAAAAAATGCTTGGGACTTCCAAATCACTTTGACATTTTTATGATATTTGAGATATTGATGTTTGAGATAACAAAGTTCAGCTGTATTTAGTAGAGATGGGAAGAAAATGCCGTTTATACTTTCTTGAATGTAACAGATGAATGAATGATAAAAATATGGATAATCTTAAGAGCTACCAGCTATATAAATTGTTCTTGTTGATTTTTTGCAGGTACATGGCAAAGGAAAAGCCTCACTTGCGATACTGAAAATTCAAGCTTTCTCTACGTTTCTTCATTTCCTACTGTAGTTTGTACTGGTAGGGAAAAAAGACAGTGCTGGTTTATTGCCATTTATGACTGTAATGTTTGTATGTTTGTGTGTGTATGAGAGAGAGAGTGTTATTACAAAAATAATGTAAATAAAATAAAATGCCCTCAGATTTAAATGTATCAAGTTTACAGTGTACATACATTTGAAAACAACCAATAAAAGAATATAAATCAAATGTGGGTGCTGTTATTTTAGACTCAGGTACAAACATGCAGTAAACATGATTATAGTGAGCTTCTGGAAACTTTCAATATTAAAAAAGATTAAAGTTTTTCAGAAGTATATCAAACATCAAGGTCAAGGTCAAATGGTCAAAATTAATAGTGCCCAAGGAAAGGCCTTTTCCCAAGAAATACACAGGTGAAATATGAAAACCGAAGCACCAATCGTTCAAAAGTTATGGCCAAGGTTAAAGTTTTCCAAAAGTAGGTCAAACGTCAAGGTCAAAGGGTCAAAGTTGTTGGTATCCAAAGAAAGGTCTTGTCAGGAGGATTACATATGTGAAGTATGAAAGCCCTAGCACTAACTGTTCAAAAGTTATGGGCAAGGTTAAAGTTTTCCAAAAGTAGGTCAAACTCCAAGGTCAAAGAGTCAAAGTTGTTGGTATCCAAAGGAAGGTCTTGTCACAAGGATTACACACGTGAAGTATGAAAGCCCTAGCACCAACTGCTCAAAAGTTATGGCCAAGGTTAAAGTTTTTGAAAAGTAGGTCAAATGCCAAGGTCAAGGTCAAAGTTGTTGGTATCCAAAGGATTACACATATGAAATATGAAAGCCCTAGCACCAATAGTTCAAAAGTCATGGCCAAGGTTAAAGTTTGGTAAAATTTTGAAAAACTGGGTCAAACTCCAAGGTCAAAAGGTCAAACATGGTGGTACCCAAAGACAGGTCTTGTCACACGGAATACACATGTGAAATATGAAAGCCATAGCTCCAACCAATCAAAAGTTATGGGCAAGGTTAAAGTTTTTGTGGACAAACAGACGGATGGACAGGGTAAAAATTATATACCCTGAATCTTCGATACGGGGCATAAAAAAGGCAATTCATTAAAATGCAGTTTGGTAACTTTCTAAATTTGCAGCCTTCCATCAGCAATTCGTGGCAACCCAATATGAGTGAAAAAATTTTGAAAGGGACATAAAGCAAACACGTTGTGTTTGTGAAACACTGATGCCCCTGTATGGCAACTTATAGCAAAGGTTAAACTTTCTGGAATGCAAATTAAATATGTTGGTACCCAAAGTAAGGTCTTGTCTCGATGAATAAACCCGTGAAATATGAAAGCCCTAACAGCAACCATTGAATAGATATGGAAAAGGTTAAAGTTTTTTCAAACTCCAAGGTCAAGGTCAAAGGGTCAAAGTTGTTGGTATCCAAAGAAAGGTCTTGTCACAAGGATTACACACGTCAAGTATAAAAGCAAAAACTTCAATTGTTCAAAAGTTATGGCCAAGGTTAAAGTTTTCCAAAAGTAGATGAAACTCCTAGGTCAAGGTCAAAGGGTCAAAGTTGTTGGTCTTGTCACAAGGATTACATATGTGAAGTATGAAAGCCATAGCACTAACCCTTCAAAAGTTATGGCCAAGGTTAAAGTTTGATAAAATTTTGAAAAACTTGGTCAAACTCCAAGGTCAAGTTCAAAAGGTCAAATATGGTGGTACCCAAAGAAAGGTCTTGTCACAAGGAATACACATGTGAAATATGAAAGCCATAGCTCCAACCAATCAAAAGTTATGGGCAAGGTTAAAATTTTTGCGGACAAACAGACAGACAGACGGGCGGACAGGGCAAAAACTATATACCCCCAAATCTTCGATACAGGGGGATAAAAAAGAAACCATTTGCAAAATTCATTCAAGCATGAATTGTTATAAAATAGGTTTCACTTGACACAAAAGTGTTGTCATACGGCAAGTTAACTAATTAACAGGAACTTTGCAGACACACTTGCATTGTCATTATGTTTACAATGTTGAATTTCTACCTTAAAAATAATATCATTTTCATGATTTGAACAATCATGAAATATTTTAATTGTGGCGGTCAGATGGGTTTGCTTGCCAGTGGCCAGATAGCTCAGTTGGTAAAGCACCTGACTGGAAATTCAGGGGGCCTAGGTTCTAATCCCGTTCTGGTCCATCGCATTTTTCTTCTTTCCCATTACATAATCTTCAATGACAGTGGCATTCCTCATCACATTTGTTAAAGGGGTCAAGCCTTGTTATTGTTAGCTCTACTGGTCAGAGGCCAGAAGAACTTATGAAGAGACCAGAAGAACTTATGAAGAGGCCAGAAGAACTTATGAAGAGACCAGAAGAACTTATGAAGAGACCAGAAGAACTTATGAAGAGACCAGAAGAACTTATGAAGAGACCAGAAGAACTTACGAAGAGACCAGAAGAACTTATGAAGAGAGACCAGAAGAACTTATGAAGAGACCAGAAGAACTTATGAAGAGAGACCAGAAGAACTTATGAAGAGACCAGAAGAACTTATGAAGAGATCAGAAGAACTTATGAAGAGACCAGAAGAACTTATGAAGAGACCAGAAGAACTTATGAAGAGACGAACTTATGAAGAGACCAGAAGAACTTATGAAGGGACCAGAAGAACTTATGAAGAGGCCAGAAGAACTTATGAAGAGACACCAGGGGTATGGCATAATGTCATCTCGACTTCATCAAGGTGAGCTTAAAATCTCCTTTTTTAACATTGATGTTCATGTGTGAAAATTTAAGGATGTTTTATAGTTTTCTTGCAATACATCTGTGATGATCAGATGAGTATAATTAAAGAAAAGAAACAAACAAATTCTTCTATATTTCAGTATTTAATTTTGTACATAATTCCAAAGATAAGGTATAACTGCCTGATATAACATATTTTGTGGTAACTGTTCAATGATTTTACTACAATCATTGTTGTCCATATCACGAGCCAGAGGGGCGCGATCACGAGGAGACACATTCTGGGATAAATTGACTGGTCCGTCTTTTGTCACTAAAATATTTTCTTCTAATCTCACAGCTATTCCACGTAACTGTGACAACTTGTCTGGTACATACTCTGGCCGTAAATATAAACCTGCAATATTATAAAAATTATTAAAGTAATTTTTGTTTGTTTATATATATCAAGGACCATAACACCTTAATGAGTAATTTTGGTACTGGTTACTAAATGTATTTTGAAGAACTTCGTATTTCCTGTTAATTGCAAGTAACCTCTTTCTTGAAATCTCAGATTTCTTATTTATTTGAACTCTGATTTTCTGGTAGATATGGAACTAAAATTAGCAGACTGAAATCTCCAGTAATAATATACAGGAAGGTTAAACAGTGATGTAGTTATTGATCACTCTAATTCATATTTGTGTAATGTTGACACATACAAGGGAAGTTCCAATATTTTTGGTTCAAATGATATTACAGCACCAAAACAAAATGGATATATAAATTATTTATTGCATTCTTTCAAAATCATTCACCGTTCACGGTAGCTCAGTTGGTAGAGCGCTGGCTCCGTGATCGGGAGGTCGTGAGTTCGAATCTTGGCCGCAACTCACCTAAGTCGATAAAAAATGGGTAGCAACTGTTCCTTCGCCATGCGCTCGGCACTCTGAAGTGAAAGTTGCGGGTCCTTCGGATGAGACCTTAAAAACCGAGGCCCTGTGTCAGGGCAAGCGTTGGCACAATAAAGATCCCTCACTGCTCAATGGCCCTGAGTGCCGAGTAAAGGTCAAAATTTGAAGCCCTTCACCGGTATATGGTGACGTCTCTATATGAGTGAAAAATTCTTGAATGGGACGTAAAACAACATACAATCAATCAATCAATCAATCAAAATCATTCCCTTTGTATTTAATACAGAGCTGAAGTCATTTAATCCAGTCAAAAAACTCCTCAGATACTGAAAAATAGCTGAGTCCAAAGTTGACCAGTATTGAAATCGCTTCCCATTTCTACAGTTAAGTTACATACTTGCTAAGACCATTTCTCAGTCTACCTGGTTCTATAGTTAGGATACATACTTGATAAGACCATTTCTCAACCTACCTGGTTCTATAGTTAGGATACATACTTGATAAGACCATTTCTCAACCTACCTGGTTCTATAGTTAGGATACATACTTGCTAATACCATTTCTCAACCTACCTGGTTCTATAGTTAGGATACATACTTGCTAATACCATTTCTCAACCTACCCGGTTCTATAGTTAGGATACATACTTGATAAGACCATTTCTCAACCTACCTGGTTCTATAGTTAGAACAGTGCCTGCCTGTAATTTCATGTCCTTAGATATTAGTGGTGTATCATGCAGATCCATTCCTAAATAGTGGCCAACTTGGTGTGGGCAGAACTTATGTGCTCCCTAAATTAACACAAAGAACATCAAATACATTACTATACAATTAGAAGCCCTGACCTTGACCAATTGTCTTGTATACTTCAATAGTTATGATCCAGTTTAAAAGTGCTAAGAAAAAAAAGAGATTTTAAAATAATATATCAATACTTTCTTGGATTTTGTAGTCAAATACAGGTTTTCAGATGCTGATGCAATAAAACAAGCAGAATTTTTGGGGAGTACTCAAATTTGGCATTATAAGCAAAAGACATTGCTAAAATTGAATATTGCCATCAATTCATTCCTAAATTGAAGTCATGATTACCTTTCTTGGCAATATAAAATCATTAATTACTTCTCACTTAAATATATACTGACTTTTAAACCAAAAAAATGCCAAATTTATGAAGCAAATCTGGGCAAGATAAATTAAAAAAAAATTCAAAAATGTAATACTTAAAAAAATCAACAATTTAAACAAGAAGTCCAAGAGCCACAATGCTCACCTGAGTCAGGTTTGAATACCTGAAAATATTTTTGGAGTAATAAGAGTTTTGAAAGTTTCTTTTGCATAGATAAACTCTGACCCCCAATTTTAGCCCCACCTTAACCCCAGGGTCCACAGTTTGAAAAAAAAATTGAATCCACACAACTTGAGAATGTTTGCATATTTATACAACTTAGTTCTGCTCTGCTACACTTGAAAAAAAGATTATTAATTTTCTTATATATTCCCATGTTAAACTTTGATATTTATTGTTACTACCCCCCCCCCTCCCCCCAGTCAAACTTTTATCTCAAATTTGAACAAACTTAAATATGCACTACCAGAGGATGCTTCCTATTAATTTCACTATGTAGGCCTGCTGTTCTTAACAATAAGATTTTTTCCCCTATATTTTCTCACGTAAAACATGTAACCCCACCATACCTTCAGGGGCCATGATTTGAACAAAATTGAATCTGCACAACCTGATGATGCTAGCATACAAATATTACTAATCATCACTTTCATATTCTTTCCTTTGTAAAAATTTTATCCACTATTCTGCCCCTACCCTACCCCCTGGGGCTTTGATTTGACCAATCTTGGATCTACACTTTATCAGAAAGCTTTTACATAAATTTAATATATTTTCATACCCAGTGGTTGTTGAGAAGGAGATTTTACAAAATTCTACCAAATTCTTACTTATTCCTACTTATCTCTCTTGAAAGAGAGTGTGGCTTTTGATTTGAGGGAACTTGAATCCCCTTTAACTAAGGATAATTGGCGAGTTTGGCTTAAATTAGCCCAGTTGTTCTGGAGAAGTTGAAATATGGAAAGTTTACAGACAACACATGACAGATGGATGCTGGATACCAAGCTCACTTGAAATTTGGCTAAGATGGTCTAACAAGGGCATTTTGGCACACAATGCTTACCTAAGTCATATTGGCCATGCTTTTTTTAAAGAAATTTAAAAAAAACCTCATTACAGACATGAACAATTGTTACCCCTTATTGTAGCCCCACCCTAGCCCCAAGGGATTATGATGGAACTGAACTTGAATCCACAAAACATGGGGACCCTTCAATATCAATATGACTAAAACAGCCTTACTGTTCTGGAGAAAATATTTTTTTAAAGATTTTATTCCTCTATCATGTTTAGATGAGACCCTAAAAATTGAGGCCCTGTTCAAGCAGTTGCTGGCATGATAAAGATCCCTCACTGCTAAGTGGTCCTGAGAGCCCAGTGAAATCTAAATTTGAGCCTTTCACCAGCATCAAGTGACATCTCACATAAGTAAAACTTCAAATAATATCAACCTATATATTCTATTCCCATGTAAACCTCTGATCCCCTAATGTGCCTCCTCCTACTTTTGAACATGATGCTTGCATATCATTATAACTTATCATGACCCTGCTTTTCTTGAGAAGAGGATATTTAAACATTGTTTCTATATGTTCCCATGTAAAGCTTTGATATCCTATCATAGCCCCACCCTACCCTCTGAAGCCATGATTTTGAACGAACTTGAATCTGCCCTATCTTGCAAATTGATGTGACTGATCATGACCCTGCTGTTCTTGAATCTTGAGAAGAAAATGTGATTTATTTTCACAAAATATTCCGCTGTGAAACCTTCTACACTGTATCTCAGAAAGCTTTCACATAAGTTTCATCTTTTCTAGCACAGTGGTTCTTGAGAAGATTTTTAGGACATCCAACTGAGTTTTGCTTTTTCCTGATTATCTCCCTTCTAAGAGGGTGTGGCCTTTCATTTGAACAAACTTAAATCACCATCACCCAAGAATGCTTTCTGGCAATTTAGTTAGCCCTTTGGTTCTGGAGAAGTCGAAATGTGAAAAGGTGATGACCCAGACAACAAACAAATTTCAATCAAAAAATCTCACTTGAGCCTTTAGCAAAGAATGTTCCAACCAAGTAAGAAACCTTACACATAATGAAAATTCTTGGAAATAAATTATGCACTACCTCTAGAAATGGTTTTCCCTTCACTCCCAAGTTCATCAGTCCCAGCACTTGAACATATTCACCGATAATTTTCATCATTTTCCTGTAGATGTCGTTAATGCTGTATTCAGGTGTACACATCTTGATGCAGGTGTCCTGTATCAACTGCACAAGCCCTATGATGGTTTCTTGTTCAAAAGTTAAGTCTGTGGAGATGAAACAAAATGTCAATGTTAACCTTGCTCTCTTGGATAGTTACTTGTATCTGAGGCTGTCAGATAAAGATTTCTGTTTCTTATGTAAAGACCTAAAAATTCTTGAAATAGGTCTAAATTTCTCAGTATTAAACTGATCTATAAATTTTGTGTATCTCAAATTTTGAGGACTTGAGTGATGTCTGTGTGTACCTGAAATCAAGGACTTTGTGTGTACTGTAATGTTGAAGACTCAAGTGATGTCTGTGTGTACCTGTAATGTTGGGGAATCGAGTGATGTCTGTGGTGTACTTGAAATGTTGAGGACTCTAGTGATGTCTGTAATGTTGAGGACTCTGTGTGTACCTGAAATGTTGAGGACTGTGTGTACCTGATATGTTGAGGACTCTAGTGATGTCTGTGGTGTACCTGAAATGTTGAGGGCTGTGGTGTACATGAAATGTTGAGGACTCCAGTAATGTCTGTGGTGTACCTGAAATGTTGAGGACTGTGTGTACCTGAGATGTTGAGGACTCCAGTAATGTCTTTGGTGTACCTGAAATGTTGAGGACTCTAGTGATATCTGTGGTGTACCTGATATGTTGAGGACTGTGTGTACCTGTAATATTGAGAGTTCTAGTAATGTTTGTGGTGTACCTGAAATGTTGAGGACTCTAGTGATGTCTGTGGTGTACCCTTTGTATTCACAGCCAGCATCAATCAGCAGTAACTCCTCAGGGTGAAGTTTATTGTTGTTCTGAACGTAGTGAATTGTGTTTCCTCTATTTCCTCCTTAACAATAAAACAATCTGAATACATATGTCTGGCAACAACCAAATATTTTTAGGTGCACTGCAATTAAATCTTTATATATGTAAAATTTTTATCCATTGTGCTTATTTGGTTACAGTGCATGAACACAAAAAATCACTAAAGGATGGCTTTAACCCTTAATGAATTAATTGATCTTGATACCTGCGACGACAGGGATGTATGCTAGTCGACCTCCATTTAACTGACAGGTATACTCCATCACTGCCTGAATTTCATATTCTAAAAGATTTTCTTTCTTCTGAAAAAAGAAATTAATGAACCCATCATATTTAACCTCCATGACCAGTAGCTAGTATGACTATGACTGATAAATCCTCAACTGACACAAGTAATTAAAAGTTCTAAAATTCTTATCCACATTACGAGGTTAAATTTACATGAACAGTAGCTAGCATGACTGATAATTCCTAAATTGATAATAATAATTAAAAATTATGACGTTAAAAATGCAATGCTTTTTATTGATGTTAACTAAGTGGTAAATTTTATTATTTCATTATCGAGACCATACATACATGTACACTTAGTAAAATGTGACAGGAAGCCACTAAATTGTCATCTACATATGCATGTACATGTTTATTGTACATGGTCTGTATCTGAGAATTTTTTTTTTCTGGCTGCACATTAGACTATTTTAAGTCAGTTTTGGTATGAAAACTACACCTTAAAGTTTAAAATGTAAATAGACATGATAGAAGAAATTACATCTAGGTTTTTCTGATGAATGAGGTTACATATACTTTGAGGCCGGAATACAAAACTTCACTGTATAAAGTTTTACTCTTTGATCTTGTGTAAACACATAAATCAAAATAAAGAAAAGCAACAAAACAAAGAATAACACAACAAAACAAAGTCGCAGATATGTCAGAATTCAACTAACCTGACTCCTTGATTTCCATTCATCAATCATATGATGCACAGATTTAAATGCTGCTTCAGTAATTTCCATACTCCTCTTCATGAGTGCAATCTCCGCCTCTGATTTGACAACTCGGAGCGACTGAACGCAGTAGTCGTAATTTTCTAGCTTTTTATACTTCCCCTGTCGTATAAAATCTGCCATGACAGTTCTGTGGATGTCTGGATTAGCAGTCTTTTGATAATTGTACCACAGAGTGAATTTACTGTTATCTTTTACATAAGTGGATAAGAAGCTGGCAATGTCTTTAGTGAACCTAGCTTCATTCACTCCGGTAGACTCCACAATAGAGTCAAAGCCTTCAAATCTTCCATCCCAGATCTCATCAAACTGGAAACGCTGAGGAACAAACAGTATAGACTTAAAATCCTCTACCCCTTTTCCCTGCTCCGTGAACATAAATAAAACACAGTTGGCCTCTAAGTAGCCACAGAGATAGTTGAATTCTGTATTTTGTCTGAATGGATACATGATCCTGTCACTGTAGAATGCCCGCGGAGCAGCAGGAACACAGACAAGGTGACTACGGTTACTCTTCATGTGTTCACTATCCACACACAGCTGTATCAGGTTCCTACGCCTGCTTTTGTATTCCTCCACTGTGATGTCTAATGACTTCTCGGGAACTTCCTGAAGTTTTGCCGACAAGAAAGCACTCAGTGATCTTCTCTGTTGTGTCAAGATGTTGGAAATCAAATGACATCTCTCTGCACAAAAAGAAAATAAGCCTATTGAAGCTGTCACAAAATAATAAAAGGATATAGGGTAAATAAACCCTGGCTTATGAATTATTATAACTCAGTTTAAACTGAACAGGACAAATAGCAACTTGAGCTAATATTTGTACATTTTATACAGACTTAGAGTGAGGGAATTACATTTATGTAAAACTGTGGAGAACATGGCTCAGTGGTCATAGGAGTTTGGCCAGTCCATTGCAGGTTAACCCCAGCTGAAGGCAGTACCCATTACACAACTCAAAGGTTGCTGGTTCAAGCCCCATTGTAGGCACTTGATGTTTTGTGTTATCCTTTGACAAAGCACTTTATCTTTGTCTTAGTCCATCCAGCTGCAATGGGTACTGCCTTCAGCTAGGGTTAACCTGCAATGGACTGGTGTCCCATCCACTTAGCACCACAGAAATGGGTCATCCACTTAGCACCACAGAAATGGGTCATCCACTTAGCACCACAGAAACTGGGTTATCCACTTAGCACCACAGAAACTGGGTTATCCACTTAGCACCACAGAAACTGGGTTATCCACTTATTAGCACAAACCTTATGAGCCTCATGGCATGTCGAAGGATATAAATTTTTGTATAACTTTAATGTATTAAAACTACCTTTTTTGTATTAAGTTTGAAAGTCTTACTTAGTGAGCCCATTCTGATTATAATCGATGAGGCTATTTCTTGTCAGTAGGAATTAACTTTTACCATTCTTCTACACATCATAATTCCCAAGACAGCAGTGTTCTGCAAATAAAGAAGCTGTAAATTATTATGGTTATTTACTGTAATTCACTGCAATTTACCGCAATTCATGGTTATTTACTGTAATTCACGGTTATTTACTGTAATTTACATTCAGATCTTTAAATTTGTGTCATTGACTGTCTTATTGAAGGAAAAATACACAAAAAATATTACTATGTACAATAATACACGCTTAGAGTCAAGGATGAACAGTTTTGATTCTTGTAAACCTGATTTGTCATATATATACCGGTATATATATTTACGTGTAACTGCCTGAAGAGCCTAACATGGCAAAAGTGCTTGCAGTAAATATTTTGTGATTTTTTAAATTTTTATTACACCCAATAATATATATATATATATATATATATATATATATATATATATATATATATATATATATATATATATATATATATATATATATATATATATATATATAATTCATAATCATGTTTAAAAGCTATAGGGAATGAAAATTATAATTACTTTGCTATGAGCATGAATTCATGATAAGAGTATGTGTTGTAACAATGTTTTACTGTATATATAGATATTATATGCAATATAGTTGTGCACTGCTTTCCAACTAAAATAAAATGACAGCTAGGTCATAATCATGTACAAAATCATTATTACTAGTGATATCTGATAATAATTTTGAACAATTTTCAATGAACTAATTGATATACAGGTACCACATTTGTTTTATGTTTAGATGTTTTACTGACTCTAGATGATAATGGCCAACTAACAACTAAACTGTATGACAAATATTACAAGATGACTTCAGCTTTTCCATTTTCAACTTTCCTTATTTATGTAGTAATATTCCACTAACACCTACACTAATCACGGTGGGTGTGACTGGCTGACAGGGGGTGCTTAGCCCTCCTAGGCACTTGGTCATACCTATGGACTTTGTTTTGTTTGTATTTTTTGAGAATGATCACTGAACATTCCTAATATTTTCACCCTTTTCATTGATATAGTGTTAGATTGTACAATTGCCTGAGTAACTATTCGTTCCCCTTTTTTTCTTTTCTATTGCATGAAATACTATGTGAGTGACTGAGTGATGCTGTAACTGTACGGTGTAACGTTACCCCTTTGTCTCTACACATCCGAATTTCCTCTATATCGAAACACAAATTTCAGTAATACCATTGGTCTTCGGAAAGACATTGCTATTCAAACTCAAGTATATTATATAATATTTTTGATTGACAGCTTAAGACGGGATATTTCTTTTTTAACTTACATGCTACTTTCACAACACATGTCAAGGTTGTTTTTTTTTTTTTGAAAAACGGTTGCGAGTGATTTCAACACTCTGCAAGTTCGTACCTGTATGTATTACCAGGAGAAAAAAAACTTTTTATTTATATAAAAAAAATGAAGACATTTCATACAATATCTCAACTATACAGCTATCATTACGATGGTGCATTAATGTTTCAACTTTTCGAAGTATACGGGACGCATTTTTATTATAGATGTCAGAGATCCACTGTCCACCAAATCGAAGGGGGTCGATTCCTTTGAAGCACCGATTTACGGTAATAATAAACAAAGTATGATGGAACGTTAGGACAAAAACAATAATTTTTTGATTTAATAAAAACAAACAAACTTATTCATCTTAGTAATTTGAATAATGAAAACTAATTAAATTGTACATTACATCATATATTTTTTTAAACTCAACGAAAATTAACACATTATAGGTACCACACTACAAAACTTGGCACATAATTTTCTGTCTCTTTTGATTTTCCGTAAAAATATCTGGAAATTTCTGCAACGCTGAACGCCGCAACGCGTGCAAACTTTGTTCGTGTCCTTGTGTAATTAAAGTAAGTTATCATCGGTAATAAGTGGAAAATATGTATTGCATTTTTCTCTTTTCATATAGCATAATTCGTTAATTTGGTACTTTACGCACATGGAATATTAATATTACTTTCAGTTTCCACTATTTGCTACTGTGAACAGGACTGCTATTTTTTTTTTAAAAGACGTAAAACATTTGACATTCTCTTTTCTCACTTTTTAGTTATTTTAGTTACATTCACATGTTTTATCTAGGTTTTAACAATGTTAAATCAATCAAATATCTGAAAAATTCGATACAAATATGAAATCAAAGTCGTGTTTCAGATTGATGTTATTTAAGGTTCATTGATACTCTGATAAGAGAGATAACTCTTAATGATATATAAATGTCTATTATTCCTTTATAGATTTATCAAGTTAAAATGTCTTTTTTGTACAATTTTATTTTGCAAGCTATACTTAAATTGTTTGAATTTTACTTATAAAATGCATTTCTTTTTTGAAAATCACAAGCATTAAATCAATATTTTATATGAGTGAGCACCTTAATCGTATTTTGTTCAATATTCTAAAAAACTGTACTTCACATACTTGTTTTAAATTGTAATGGTTTGGGCAGTGGCCATCGGCCTGGGTAGCTCAGTCAGTAGAGCACCTGACTAGTGAAGCAGAGGTCCAAGGCTTGATTCTTGGTCCAGCCTTATATTATCTTTTCCTTTAGCCTACATAATTTGGTGCCGTTGACCACCCCTGGACTTGCAGGTGAAAGTCTCGCCAGGGGCAATAAGAACTTGGGTTGTGTCTTCAAGGGCAAAAACAATTTAAGGAAGGAGGAATGTAATGATTTGGGCTATGGATATCAGGCTGGATAGCTCAGTTGGTAGAGCATCTGACTAGTGATGCAGGGGTCCCAGGTTTGATTCCCAGTTCAGCCATACTTTTTCCCCTTTCCCGTTACAAAATGGGCTTTGCTATCAGGGGCTATCATCATCTAGTTTGAAGAAAAAAAAGAGAGAGCGCACTTCTAGATCATATATATTAATTACTCGTATATTCACAGAATGTGTTAAAATTTTATATTTCTGCAAAAATAGCAGTCAGTTGGGTATTCTACATGTATATACAAAAAAGGAAATAATTTATCCAATGGGCATGCATCGGACAATGTCCGATGGATGATTAATTTGTGTCTGTTGCATTGTTTTTTGGTTGTGCTAATTTGTTTTAAAATGTTCATATATTAACTGGATGAAAACCTTTCTAGATTCAGTCACTAAACCATAATTTTCACCCTCATTCTTTTGATCTTTTTGCATGTGGTCCATTTCAGATTGAACTGTGGCCATGAGTGCTGAACGAATGTTGCAGCAGATTGGACTTCTTAAAGAGTTTGTAAAACTCTGTACGGGTGACCCGGACATATTACATCAAAAGGAACTGAAATTCTTCAAAGATTGGCTGGAGAGGTGTGCTCAGATTAAATGATTAAATCTCAGATTGTATTCTTTACTTTTGATTAGTACTACCTGTAATTTTATGTGCTCTATTTCAGTATGGGTGCAACCATTCCTCCCCCAACAGAGCCAGAAGAAACTCCCAAGGTGAGATGTTCATATCTATTGAAATGCAATGCATGTTCTAATGTTGAATATTAATGTGACATTGTTAATAAATGTTCTTAGTGTTTATAGCAACCTACAGAGGAGAAAAAACCAGAGCAAAAGCCGGAACCAACACCAGCCCCTGAGCCAGAACCAGAGAGTGAGGAAAGTGATTTAGGTAAGGGACTGAGGTTCTATCAGAACCAGGAAGAATTTCAAAGTGATTTAGTTAAGGGATTGAGGTTCTATCACTACCAGAAAGTAAAGAAAGTGATTTAGTTAAGGGATTGAGGTTCTGTCAGTACCAGAAAGTAAAGAAAGTGATTTAGTTAAGAGATTGAGTTTCTGTCAGAACCAGAGAGTGAGGAGAGTGATTTAGTTAAGGAATAGAGGTTCTATCAGAGCCACGGAGTGAGGAAAGTGATTTAGGTAAGGAATTAAGGATCTATCAGAAACCAGAGAGTAAGGAAAGTGATTTAGGTAAGGGATAGAAGATCTCTCAAACCAGAGAGGGAGGAAAGGGAATAAGGTAAGGGATTGAGGTTCTATCAGAAACAGAGAGTGAGGAGAGTGATTTAGGTAAGGGACTGAGATTCTATCAGAACCAGAAAGTAAAGAAAGTGATTTAATTAAGGGATTGAGGTTCTATCAGAAACCAGAGAGTCAGTGAGGAAAGGGATTTACCTGAGAGTAGGAGAAGAAGGAAAGGGATTTATAAATCATAGCCAGAGAGAGAGGAAGATGTTTGAGTTTACTGACAGAAGTCTCACTGTTAAGAATTTGAGAAATAAGAAAAGGGAAGTAATTTGTAAATTTAATTCTGATTTATTTGTTCTTCATTACAGAGCTGGATAATACAGGTGTGATAGAGGACAAGGACACAGAGCTGCCCGAGGATGGAGATGACTCTAAAGAAGTTACCGAGGAGATGATGGACTCAGCCAATGAAATGCGAGCTCAGGCAATGTCCGCTTTCAGTGAAGGTAGTAATCTTGTAAATTTTCACTGATAAAAGATTTTCTCCGTCACCATATTTTTGTAGATGGGAAATGCTGATATAAAGTCTATAAACTCAGATATACTTTATTTTCTGAATTTTAGGGAATTTTGATGAAGCATTAAAGTTGTTCACAGAGGCAATCAAAATTAACCCCCAGTCTGCTTTGCTGTATGCTAAAAGAGCAAGGTAATCCCCATAAATTGTTGGATACTTTATGTTACATGTAATGGATAGTTGAAATTGTACAGCTGTAAAGATGCATTAATTTATGCATTAATTATTATTTTGCAGTATTTTTATAAAACAGAAGAAACCAAACAAAGCGATACATGATTGTACAAAAGCTATTCAACTGAACCCGGACTCTGCCCAGCCTTACAAATGGAGAGGACGAGCCTACCAGTAAGAAACTCAAAACAGCTTAGACTGAAAACTATTTATGAACAATGTCCTTTAAGAGCAATAGAAGTAAAATTTTAATAATTATAACCATCTCTACACCTTTCCATAAGAATATTAATTAAAATCCTTATGTTAAGTGGAATGAATACAGACTTAGCAATTCATACAGATATATCAGGATCATTGCTTAATGTGTTTATCAATGATTGTGTTTACTGAACAGTCTACTTGGAAAATGGGAGGAAGCCTACCATGACCTCACCATGGCAACTAAGCTAGACTTTGATGATTTAGCCAATGAATGGCTGCATGAGGTCACTCCAAACGTAAGTAGTGCAGAAACAGTTTGTAAAGAAATTAAGTAGGGATGGCAATTTGTAACAGGTTAACCAATTACTCGGTCAGAACGATGGCAATCGGTTAGAAAATCTGTAATCGTTTAGTTGGAAAAAAAAATAACTTGTAAATTTTAACGTAAATTTCTTATAATTCATTTTCGGGAAAAGAGAAATCTCTGCATTAACGTTGATATTTCAGCGTTCTCACATATCCAAGCTGACTTGGATGTAATTATGGTTCTCGGGATTGAGATTGTGGGGTAATTGGCCATGGTCATTTTGTGTTTGAGGTGTTAATTACTGTTAAAACACCATATCGTTTCCCTGACTGTCATGTAATTCTTTAATGATATTAAATCACCGTTGAATTAGTATGTTTGTCTTTTGCAGTTGTCCATCAAATAAATTACTAAATAAACATTGTAAATTCAGTGACGTAGTTCAGACTTAGTTTTAATTATGGTGACAAGGCAGAATGAACTTATGTGACATCTGCTCTGGATATTATCTGATTTCTCAGGCATGTTTCGTGGTTTTCTTATATTTTTTCTTGTCTATTAAAACTGAAATAAAATATATATGCATGTAGTTTTCTTACCAAGAATCAAGACAAATAGAATGATTTAACTTCTAGTGACTTTGTTAGTCTTCTTGTGTATATGAATAGAGATACTTAGGGGGGGGAAGTATATCAAGAAAATGCATATTTTGATACGGTTAACTGGTTAATCGGTCGGAACGTCTTGCAGTTAACCGATTAGTAATTCTGTATTCGATTGCCATCCCTAAAATTAAGGATACACCATTATAATTTCCTTTGCATATGTGTAGAATATGGCTTAAATTTTCTGTTTTATGCTTGTGCTCCAGTTCATACTTTTTCAAAAAGAAAATGTTCGTACGTTTAGGCAAAGAAAATCATGGAGCACAACAGAAAATATGAGAGGAAAAGAGAAGAAAAAGAAATAAAAGCTAGAAAGGAAAGAATGAGAAAAGCAAAAGAAGAGTATGAACGAGCCAAGACAGTAAGTGAGGAGCTTAAGCAATCAATTGTTCTGTATAAGAGGGGAATTTTAAGTTGTTTAGAATGGTGGCTAAGGCAAAATATGAAGGGAGTATTGAAGTATTGGGTGGTATGCCACACCAAAATTCTATTTAATGAATGTTTAAAGTATCTCTTTTGACAAATGAATTCATCAATAAAAGACCAATATAAGCTTTTAATTATTTTTTATCAATTGTTTTGTACTTTTTCACAGAAAATGGATTTTTTTTTAAATAATCATCCGGGAACTTCAAATTTGTTCTTAAGTAATGCATAACATAAAAATCTAATAAAATGTGTCAAGGAGAGTCTGGTAGACATTTTATTTTTTTTAAAATAAAAAATTATTTATGAATATGAAAAACGTGATTTATTAATTTTTTTTAAAATTTTTGGATGGAATCTTCAAAGAATGTTTTAACATATTGAAAAGAAATATTATAGAAGATAATGAATTGGATTTCTGCATGTCTCTTTATTAGGTCACCTGAGTCACTCAGGTGACCTAGTGCTATCCGTTCTCGTCTGTCAGCGTGCATTAACATTTGAACATTTTTAGCTTCTTCTCTGAAACCGCTTAACCAATTTCAACCAAATTTGGCATATAGCATCTATGGGTGAAGGGGAACAAAAATTGTGACTTTTATGGTCCCTACCCCCCTGGGGCCTGAGGGGTGGGGCTAAAACCACCAAAAATAATGCAATCTTTAAAAATCTTCTTCTTTACTCCTGGACATCAAGCAGTCAAACTGTTGGCATCATTGTAATAAGCATTGAGCCCTCTACCAAAATTGTGAAATTCATGGCCCCAGGGTCAGGGGTTCTGGCCCCAGGGTGGGGCTATATAGATCATATAGTGAAAGTGCATTATTTCTTTGAAAATCTTCTTCTCTGTTCCTGGGTATTAAATAAGGTAACTAAGTACATGGTTATGAAGAGCAAGAGTGCCTCTTCCAAAATTGTGAAATTCATGGCCCCAGGGTCAGGGGTTCTGGTGTTAGGGCGGGGCTCTATAGATTGTATAGTGAAAATGCATTTATTCTTTGAAAATCTTCTTCTCTGCTCCTGGGTATTAAATAAAGTAACTAAGTACATATTTATGATGAGCAAGAGTGCCTCTTCCAAAATTGTGAAATTCATTGCCCCAGGGTCAGGGGTTCTGGCCCCAGGGTGGGGCTATATAGATCATATAGTGAAAGTGCATTATTTCTTTGAAAATCTTCTTCTCTGCTCCTGGGTATTAAATAAAGTAACTAAGTACATAGTTATGATGAGCAAAAGTGCCTTTTCAAGAATTGTGAAATTCATGGCCCCAGGGTCAGGGGTTCTGGTGTTAGGGCGGAGCTCTATCGACTATCTAGTGAAAATGCATTAATTCTTTGAAAATCTTCTCTGCTCCTGGGTATTAAATTAAGTAACTAAGTACATAGTTATGATGAGCAAGAGAGCTTCTTCCAAAATTGTGAATTTCATGGCCCCAGGGTCAGGAGTTCTGGTGTTAGGGCGGGGCTCTATTGACTATATAGTGAAAATGCATTAATTCTTTGAAAATCTTCTCCTCTGCTCCTGGGCATTAAGGTGATAAACTAAGTACATAGTTATGATGAGGAGGTGGGCTCCTTCCAGAATTGTGAAAGCCATGGCCCCTGGGTCAGGGGTTCTGGTGTTAGGGTGGAGCTCTATTGATTATATAGTGAAAATGCATTAATTCTTTGAAAATCTTCTTCTCTGCTCCTGGGTATTATTTAAACAAACTAAGTGCATGGTTATGATGCATAAGGATGCCTTTTCAAAAATTGTGAATTTCATGGCCCCAGGGTCAGGGGTTCTGGTGTTAAGGTGGGGCTCTATTGATTATATAGTGAAAATGCATTGATTCTTTGAAAATCTTCTTCCCTGCTACTGGAGATTATTTAAACAAACTAAGTGCATGGTTATGATGCATAAGGATGCCTCTTTAAAAATTGTGAATTTCATGGCCCCAGGTTCAGGTCTGGTGTTAGGGCCGGGCTCTATTGATTATATAGTGAAAATCCATTAATTCTATTAATTAATCATTAATTAATCCTGTCTGCTCCTTAGTGTTGAGCTGATAAATAAATTGCTTAGCTATGATGAAAATGGGAGCTTCGAACAGAATTTTTAAATCTCATGGTCCTAGGGTCAGGGGTTCTGGCATAACGAGGGGGGGGGGGGGGGTTCGATGATATAGTGGAAAATTGTTAATTCTTTGAAGTCCATAGTTATGATGATGAGGGTAACTTTTCCAAATTTGTAAATTTCTTGACCTTTGGTCTTGGGTTCTGGTGTTAGGGTAAGGCTTTGTTGAATCTGTAGTGAAAATGCATTGTACCAGTGAAATTCTTCTCTGCTTCTGGGCATATCGGAAGCAAACTGAGTAAAAGTTTAAATGATATAAGTAAGCGTATTTCTACCAGATTTTTGAACATCTGGACCATTTGTCTAAGCATTCTGGTCCTGGGCAGGGCTCTATTAATTTGTATTCTACTGAGAGAAGTTATTCCCCTTTTCTATTCACCTCTGATAATAAATCACTGTAAATAATGTATTTGAAAGGTTAATAGAATAAGATAATTATGCAAGAATGTTTATCGTATAATTCAAAAAGTACTTTCGTAGTTTTAATAATCAGGCAGACCTGTAAGTAATAGATAAATAAAAATGAGACAATAATAACTTATCTCATTAAAAGTTCTTCAAAGACCATAAGAGAGGTCAATGCTAGAGGTCTTAATATGGGTTTAAAAATAGTACAGAAGCACTAATAATTTGTTAATAGTCTGCATGGTGATAGTGTTAAGTGGGGGACAGATTAGAACTTAAGTTATGTGTTGATACTGAATACTAGACTAATTATTTTGTTGATCCTGATCTTCGTACTTCTCTTGCTTTAGGGCAACAAAGCTTCATCTATCAGTGTATTTAACTTCTAAATTGTTGTATTATACTCAGGTGACCATTAAGGCCCTTGGGCCTCTTGTATTGATGACAGCTTACAGATCAAGTTCAAGTTTCTTGTTGATTGACCCATTTTTACAAAAGTTATGGCACTTAGACTTTGAAAATTTCTAGAAATTCACTGTTTTCCGAAGTCCATTTTTTTGGCTCTGCTTGAAGATAATGAGTTGATTTTTGAAATATCTCTTGATATTGTTGACTTACATATCAAGTTGAGTTTTGTGATGATCGACCCAGTTTTATGAAAGTTATGGCGCTTAGACTTTGAAAAACTTGTTTTCAGAAGACTCGTATGCATATTTGTTATGCCTTACTGTATAATATTGATTCATTAATTTTTAATGCAGAGTGCCGGTAGTGGTGGTGCAGGAGGATTTGGAGGAGCAGGAGGATTTGGGGGTTTCCCAGGGGGATTTCCAGGTGGCATGCCTGGTGGTATGGGTGGTATGCCTGGAGGAATGGGTGGTATGCCTGGAGGAATGGGTGGTATGCCAGGAGGAATGCCTGGAGGAATGGGAGGAATGCCTGGAGGAATGGGTGGAATGCCTGGAGGCATGGGAGGTAACTTTGTAACACATTTGAAAATAGTTCAGTTGCAAGGGCAAAGAATTTATGATTTTTTTTTTCAGAAATGTAAGGAAGTGCTATATTTATAATATATAATATTATTTACCCTGTGTGTGGAAATGCATGCTCCCTTTTAAAGAATTATCAATGGACAAATTCAAAACTAGTTAATATTAACAAAGGGCAAATAACTGTTACATCTAAAAACAGCTTTTCAATAGCTCACCTGAGCCAAAGGTTCAAATGAGCTTTCTGTTTGAAATTTGTCTGTTGTTTGTTGTCGTCATCATTTTTGTAAAGTTTTCATGTTTTCATCTTCTTCTCCAGTACCATTCAAGTTTGTTCAAATGAAGGGCCACACCCTCTTCGAAGGGGGGATAATTAAGCAATTGTGAAAATTGGCTAACTTGTATTCATTTGAAAATGGTGCTTTATCATTATTTATGCACCTGGGTTAAAACATCATTGAGAAGAATTCCTTAGCACACTAAATAATGCAGTGAAACTACAGTTTAGCATTGTAAAGGATGTAAGCTTGTGTGTTCAAAATGTTTTTCAATAAAGTTGCGAATTTCAAGTATTTTCTTGATTTTCATCTACAGGCATGCCAGACTTATCCAATATCATGAACGACCCAGAAATTGTACAGGCTTTCTCTGTAAGTCAATAATTTTATTATTTTTACATGGTATGGTGATGCAGCCTCAAAAGCATGTTTAAATATTTGCTAGATATAAAGCCTTTTAAAACATCCTTCTTTGCTGTGACAATGATCCGTTGTTTCTATAGGACCCAGAGGTAGCGGCTGCCTTCCAGGACATCAGTCAGAATCCCCAGAATATGATGAAATACCAGAATAACCCCAAAGTTCAATCTCTCATTAATAAAATGGCCGCCAAATTTGGAGGCAAACCACCAGGTGGACCACCGGTAAGATTGGTCATTTTTTTGCTGTGATTATTATACCCCTAGCTTGAAAAGGGGGGATTGTTTAGTGATGGCGGAGTCCATGCGTCCATTACACTTGGGAATTAACAATCTCTTATCTGCAACTCCTCATACTCCAGTGAATGCAGTTTTAAGTTTGGATTGGAAACATAAATGTATTTGGGATTTCCCATAGCAAAACATGAACACTGCCATTCTTTCTATAATATTGGGGGTATCCATCTCTTATCTGCAACTCCTCCTATACCACTGATTAAAATTTAATGAGACTTTTGTAGAATTTTAATCACATAATGCCATTGTGCACCTCCAATTTAAGTTTTCATCAGACAGATATTTGGGCTTTCCCATGACAAAATTTGGATTTTGCCATTATACTCATATGGAGATGGGAGGGGTATCATTTTGTGAGCTCAGCGCTCACAGTACCTCTAGTTTAATAAGGACTGTACAATATTTTACTATCTATATTGCAGATGTAAAGTCAAGGAACTGTTGTGAAGAGAGTATGAAAGAAGAATGAAAAGCAGAAGCTGTGACCTGTAAAGTCAAATCTGTATTCAGTATAATTATGTATATAACCATGCATGTTCTGTATTTCAGATCCTAGCAAATTAATTTCTTTTTTTTATTCCTGTTTATCCAAGCTTGTACAAAGTTTGACTGTGTGAGCTGATTCAGAAAGTTCACTTAAATTGATCAATCTAGTATATGCAATTAACTATTTGTAGTTTTCTTTTGAACTTGGTTGTTCTGACGCACTCATGTATAATCATACTTCTCACTAAAAACTGAGTCTCCATTAGATTGTGCATCTTATGTTTGAAGTTACATTTTTAGAATTCCCCTCACAATTCACGATGCAAATTCCATAAAACCTAGATACGCACTTTTTAAAAAAATCTTACTTAATGGTAAACTTGATCAAGTTTTTTTTAGAGACCATTCCAAAATAAAGTACCTACATTTTCAGTTGCTGCACACTTAATCGTCATCAAGTATAGGTGACTTGTCTGAACACATTTACAAAAACATTTTGTATTGTGAATTGTTTTTGCCTACAAGAAGGGTGCAAGTTCTGTGTTTATCAGTAGTACTGGTATATGATGGTTTATTTGTTTTCATTAAAGGTATGTACTAACTGTAACTGGTGTCATTATTTGTCTATGCTACAGACTGATTTCATGTATGTGTTGCTAAATGGATATTTGTGATGAATTCATCATCTGTAATGATAGAAGCTATTCGAGTATGATATAAAGTGGAGAAGTTTTGTCTCCAGTGTACAATTTTTTGGGAGCACACGTGATCACATCCGTTTGCGCATTTATGACAATCCAAGGCTGTTGCAACACGAGTGCTTTCGCATCCCCTTTAAGAAAACACTTGAAAATATATTTTGAAACAAAATAAATTCATTTTTAAGTAATGGCACTTTATTTTGTTTAATAAAAGAGACACTTTATTAATGTACCAGAATCCACTAAAATGCTACCCATTTATAAACAAAACAATCAAACTCGGAGTACGCAGTAGAGATGTTCCTACCAGACTCACCCCACAGCTCCTGAGTACGGTCCTGCAATCAAAAACTCATTTAGTGGTGTTCAATCATGAATTAGCTCACTACCGCTTGTGATAAAATATAAATCTGGGTGATAGAAGGACACACTCTATAAGAGCTCTATACAGACCTCGAGGTAAAGATAATTCTCAAGTTTTCAGAAATTGTCGAATTATCAGCAAAGTAAAGGAAAGTGGTGAGGCCGAAGATAGATTAATTGGTTTTGAAATCTTCTTGATTCAATTCTGGATTCAATTTGATGCCTTATATTCTTTTATTCTGAGAAAAAAAAATCATATTTATATTTTGAAGAAGAAAAAGTAGAGATTAAATGGCTAGAACTTTGTGGTTCATACATTTCTTTTTCGAGCCGTTATTTCTTTAGAGTACAATTATAATTTTCTCCCTATGGAAGTGCCTACTCTTCTAAGGTCTATATTGCTGGAGTGGAGAAATATTTATTTTATGGCTTGTGTCAGAAAATATTTGATGTCAAGTTCAATTGAAACTGGAGCACAGGTTTGTGATCGTTATATTTTTTGAACCCGGATTTGTACAGCGGATTGAAAAAGCAAGTTTAACACACGATTCACATCAATGATTAAGGCATTTGTCTTTATCCTACACAATTTCAGAAATATTTTAAAACCTTATTAACATCCATTTGATGACTCTTATCCGAATCAATCATCCTTTATTTTGGGGAATTTAAATATTCTGACATACTAACTCATGGTGGTACTAAAATACGCGATGTATTGCATAATAAACCACAAATATTTCAGAAAATTAAAATAATTTAATGTCTATAGGAAATTTCGTTTTTGTGAATGATTTGGTTCTAGGAGTACGCATCCACTTTAATCTCAGGAATCGGGACTTTGATATCGGGATAAGACGGCGGAGCCTGGAGTTCCATCTCGTATCCCGGGGATAACATGGAAGCCGACTGCAGACTTTCCGCCGAGCCGTAGATCTGCCACGGAATGGACGTATCAGCCACGCTCAGATCTATAAAAATGTCTACAAAGTTTTCATCCACTAAAGACAGTCGGCTCGAAAAGTCATCCACACCAAGAGTGTTCTTTCCTCCTGCACTTTCACTAGCGTCCTTTACAACACCATTTTGCTCTTTTTGACGTTTTTCGGTATATAACTTTTTCTCTATACCTTCTTTCATGTACTTTTCTAATTTATCGTTGACAGTCTTTTCTCTGCCCTTGTCGTCTGCGTTTCCCTCAACTTCTTCTAGTACATTACCGACACTCTGTTTTCTTTCCTTGCTTGCTTCATCTACATCTTCGGGAGGTTCAGGTTCAACCTCGTCCTCCCGTTTGAAAACAAAGTCATAAATTGGCCAGTTTTGTTTAAAGTCACATATTATTTCATCAATTTGTCCCTTGAAACTCAACGTCTTCAGATTCAGTTTTACTGATTTCCTTGGAAGCACATTTTTCAGAAGCATTGGCACAAATCCTCCCGCCAGAGTTGCTAGTGTCTGATTTGTGGACGAAACTTGATGAACATTTCCGAAAGCCATCACGACAATCATCACAAAGAAAAGGAAGATGACGATTATGAGAAACTTGCCGGTGGCGCGTAGAAGATTTATATACACCGGACCCGGAGCACCATGCACTCGGATTTCACAAACCCTTTGGAATAATCTTAAGGGAATTCTGGGAGTATCAAAAGAATCCAAGAATAATAAGAGATGACCAATCTTCCATGAAGGGTCTTTTTTCTCAAATGTCAAAGCAGTCGGGATTTCATCCACTGCTTCAACGGGTTTAACCTGAAACGCAACATTTTCTTGCATATTAGATGGAAGACTGGCTACGGTTTTGAGATCTTCAACGCGATCCATGATATCTTCCACAACACTCTTATCAAACGTAAGGTAACTTTCGTACACGTTGCTGTAGCAGTCGTGCATGTACACAATCACAAGAAGCGCCATGGAGACATATCGGAGTGTGCTTCCAGCGTTGATGATGATTCCCATCATCGTGAAGGCCATGACTTCTACAATCAAGCCCACCGCCTCCACGATGATCAGGATGATGGCGTAAAGGACTGCTAGACAGAACAATCCGACCATCCACTGAACAAGAAAACGCCGGACAGCATTTAACTTCCCGTACCCCCACGTCATGGCATGAGTTTTCGTTTCTTCCAAAGTTATTTGGCGGCTATGAACACTTTTGTCAATTTGTGATAATTTTTTCCGGACCTTTAATAGCTTTTCTTTCTTCTTGCTGATAGGTTTGTCCGGATCCGATTCGTAATCCTCACCATTAAACTTCTTTCTAGCATGAAATAATAATCTGTATGACAAATATATGGTAGGTATACAGTATAGAGCAAAAATAATTCCACATATAGGTGCAGCGACAAACGAATACAAAGGAGCAAGTATTATTGCTATTAGGCCACATTTTTTGAAAGGCCACAAACCAACACGTAACATCACCTGTAGCACACTTGTTCTTGACACGTTTGCCATGTCCTGCAAGGAGTCTCTGGAAATTGATTTCAGTTTGTCCCTGACTGATTCGTCGGCGAAGCCCAAAATTACCCCCGAGAGAAAATAGAACACGTAAGTGGCGATGAAAACTCCATGGGTCGGAGAAAAATACTGAATGATATTTCCTCTATAGAAATCAAACTCTTGTTTCAGATCTAAGTGATTGATTACTCTCTTCCGATACAAGACTTCGTCCTCCTCAAAGAAATAATAAATCAACACACGTACATAAAACGGAAGCGGAACTAGTAACAGAAGCAGCACTTTGACTAACGATTGCACGCACATGTGCCACGTGCATTTGGTCTTTATCATTGGCTCCAATGACGCGTACACGCTCATGTCACAGCATTCAGCGAACGGATCCAGCCTTTTGATTTTACAGCGGATCAAGTTGTCATACAGCGTCCTGAACACTCCGGTCGGCGGATCATTGTCCGGAATGATCCGCTTTCCCTTCACTTTGATCCTTAGTTCGGGAACTGTAATCGGAACAATTTCATCCATAGGACACGTTTCAAGCTTCTCCCGAAAACGCCTCCAGTCAGCTATATCCTCCAGAGTCAGTCTCTTCTTGTATCTCACTGAGGTCTGAGTACTCTCAGTCACAAAGAGTTTGAGCTTGAGTTCTTTCGAAAGTTTTACGGCGTACTCGGATGCCACATAAGAAGCATTGTACATCTGTGTGGGCATTATTAAAGGAGCAAAGCAAAATACAATCAGCTTCACAAACGTAATACATATATACAGAAGCAGAATCCACCCCTCCTGAACCTGGTCAGTGCAGGTTATACTGTTGTCAGGATTCTGACCACAACAACGATTGATGAAGTCTGCGTAACCATTGTTGTCAAGCACAATCTCGTTACAAACGTATACTGTTCTTTCTATACGTGTTTCGAATTGGATCTGTGAACTAGATTTTTCATTTAATCGAAAGTTGTCCAAAATTAGATCTCGTATCAAAGCAACCCTTTCGAGGGCCGTTATGTTTCTGAAACAACCGAACGGGCGATCCATCAACACAACGTTGTGATGCTCAACACCAATAGTCAAAATGGACATGGACAAGACGTCGTAGTGAAAGGACAACATTAGCAGCGTGCGTCCATGCTGCGTGCGTGTTCGATGCCAGCGCCATGGCTTATAGTTTGACGTCATATCCGTCCTCAGTGGATTTAGAGAATAATTGAACAATTCAAAGGTAAACTCTGATAAAACAATCTTGGGGTCGTCTAGGAACTTGGCGAATGATGGGTCTTTAAGACTGATGACACACTGGTCTGTTGATGTTTGTAGTGGATCCTTTGGGACCTCGCTAGTTTGGAGTGCATGACTGACCCCCAGTAGCACCAGGGTGAACCACGTCCATCTGTATACTTCCATGGCTCTCTGTAAAATTATTATAAGATTTTATATATACATGTATATACATAAATTATTTAAATAAAAGATTATTTGATTCAAAACGGATAGCTGCTCCAACACAATCCATATCTATATATCGGTTAAAAACGACTTTATTAAATTAATGCATGCTCCAGGTCGGTGAATAACGCAAAACCTTATTAATACATGTACTAAGTTCTTAAATGATCGGTTGCCACCGTAGCGCACCAAACGCTTTAAAAAGGAAGGCGTAACCGGTTATTCAAGATAATTCATAATTTCAAATTAATCTTGCCATTTAAAAAAGACACCAACGAGAAAATAATTTAAGAATCAATCAATGCTACGAAAATTATATTTGAAATTGATGGTTATACATGAAAAAATATTGATTGCATGGTTTTACAAAATACTTTAGTATATTACTCACTTTATGCATACCGTTATATTTCACGTGGTTCTGTCATCTTAACTTGGTGATGAATTGTCCTGATCTGCAAAATGAATGATAGAGGATTAGTTTGTCACTATTTAAACACGGGTCTCGTATTCTCCAGTTCTAGTGGTAGAAATATTATGTCACTTGCACAAGCAGGAACAAATTAGATTCTGTTGAGTATTATCTGCATGGGAACATTGTGCTATTTTATTGTAAATCAAACCTGTTCAGAGAATCTCCTCATTGACACATAATAAATCACTCCTATTGCCGAAAACGTAAAGTAAAAACATTCCATCTAACCCCTTCATTTTCTCTGTTAAGTATTGCATGATTTTGAAGCCAATTTTGGTGATTTTTGTTAGTTTTGGTTGCCATGTGTTTTATTTATTTTTTTTAATTTGCTTTGTTATTACCGTACCAGTGTTTTACCGGTAAATCTTTGTCAACATGTTGGTAAACAAGACACTCCAATTTCACATCGCGGCAAGGTGTAACTGCTATCTTATAAACTCCATTCAAATACATGTATGTAATTAGATACATTCCTTTATGAATGTTCCTCCAAACTTAAAGGCCCTCTATTATAAGGAATATATTTTTGGACATTGAAAAAAAATTATATCCTCCAAAGATGAAGATACTGAGTTTTTCTATTTCATATTCAACAGTGAGTACAGGAACAAAAGACAAAGAAACATTGATGAACAGGAAAAAAGGCTAATTGTGAACCAGCATTTTATTTTGATAATTTTTATGGAGTATCTAAACCAGTAAAAAAAATCTTTGGATAACATTCAACTTGACCTTTAAATATGAGGAGAATGCCTGAAAATACAAACTTCAGTTCATTTATCTTCTTAATAATATGATTACTAATTGAGTAATATACGCTAAATTTAGTTATCTTATTTTATATTGAAGGGCAAATTACCCAAACTTCATAAAAATACTGTAACATAAAATCAGAACTTTTTAGTGTGCAGTATATAAAGGACCCTTAACATCTTAATTTAGTGAAACGTTAGAGAAGGGAAAATGATTTATATTTTTATATTATTATAAATTAGTATATAAATAATTGACTGATCCAACATTCACATAAGCACACACACTGCAGTGTGGACTAATCTTAATTATTTTGCAAGTTTTATTTACAGACTCGGTTAGGAAAAAAATGTGAAATAACAGCATGCATACCCCGAATGTGTTAATTTCAGGAGGTTCTGCTAACCATCTCGGCTTGGCGACTTGTCCTGATCTGCAAAACATATGAACGACAGAGGGATTAAACCGTCGGTAGTCTTATAAAAATATTATGTCATTTACAAAACAAGGAACTGCTTTATATGTGCACTGTGCAGGCGTTGAAAAAAAACTGCAATGTCACCAAGAAATATTTTTTTTCTGGGACCATCTTTCATTTGGCACAATAAATCACTGCCGTTTCGCTTAATCCGTCATATCATGTGCAGCATTATTAAAAAAGAACTATAAGTATTCAAATATTTTATTCAAACAGGATTGCATTAATTACCGTTATTTCCTTTTTTTTAGTTGAATCTCACTTTCTCATTTTTATTTAAATACTCGATCTATCTTAAATATCTGTGGGGTCTCAAATCTAGTTGTTGATGAATTGATCAGTTAGTTTGCTAACGTTCCGTTAGAATTCTTCCCACTGTTTATCACTTAAAGAATTACACCTGTACCCTATCAAATAGACAAATGCGTTCTTTACAAAGACTCAATTACAGGTACACTCTTTCATTTATTTAATTCAAAATAACTACATGTAGCTCGATTTAGCGAGAATAAAACAGTACGTATGAGATTGTGTTTAGGTTTGAAGTATCCCATCCGGAGGTCAGGCATTATATGACCTTGATATTGGGGACAAGTCCTGTCAAAATCAACATTGAGTCATTTAAGGGATTGAGTTCTGATTAAGTTAATTAATGGCTACAACAACATTACTGTCTGGACTAGGTTAGGTATTGCTCAGTGATCTTGTCCCTATATACGTATGAACTTGAGTCAAAGTTATGTAACTTCATTTGGAAAACAACATACTACATGTAATATTGAATTCTTTCCAATCAATGGTTTTAGAGCTCTTCTTTCTGTGAGCTTAATTGACCTTTTTCATAAAATAACCACTTTTAAGTCATTGTCAAACATATAAGTGTTAAGCTGGATCTAGGGAACATTTATGATAGGACAGACAACGATGACAAAAACACACTGTTATTTGAAGATTCATAATTTAATTAACTGTGGATTGTTTTGAGTTTTTTGCGAGTATAATATCACCTAGAATATATATTTCCTTAAATACGGTAATATTTTTGTCAATAGTGTATAATTTTGATAAATCAGATGATTGATGTATAGTGCGAATTCAGAAAATTCTATTAAATGTTCAACTATTAAAAAAGTCTTATGGTCCCAAGCAACCCAGGAATCACTTTATCACGAAATAAAATTGTCTTTCCAATTTGTTCAACTTTCTTTATATAAAGTTATTTTATAAACTGACCAAACAGTGCAGTAAATGCACGATTTCTGTCTCTCTGTGAGCCGCCCACGCAGGAGAAACATTAGTGTGCCAGTATTAAACATACCAAAATAAACCCCATTTTACCAATGTACTTTACTGAAACTGCTAATTATTTAAATTGATAATTTCATGGGCTCTTTGTTGACAGGAATACCTTATATCTTTAGATAACGTCCCACTCGAGTAAAATTTTCAAATATTCTTTGCAGGGTGTAAAGATTTTTCAGGCGAGATTCTGTGCTCGTATTTACTTGGATTTTCAGGTTCGATTTAGAATTCCAAACATCGGGTTATGTCAGGTCATTTTCCACTCAATGGGTATACAGTCGACCACACTTTATCATCGCTTCGTCAGAATAATCATAAACTTATAAGGCATTCGTTTACAAAACCGAATATTTAACATCAGGGTTGATACAATTGTCTTTTACTTATTATTGAATTACTAGAAATTCATATACGAGTACACAACAATTAACGACACAGTTTACAAGGCAAAGTATCTTCAAAGTATTTATCATTACTTCGATATACCTATGATGTACTGTATATTTCTGAAACTTTTGTAGCATATTACAACCAAAACCAAGAGACTAGAAATGTGAAACGATTGATTCGTTCAAACAATGTGACATCAGGGGTATGATAAAGTTTGCACAATAGCTAAGATGCAATGTCAGTTTCGGATTTTGAAGGGGGGGGGGTTACCCTACCCCAGCTAAAAAAATTCTGTAAAACTTATGATGCTAAAACCTCATATTAAACACAAGTACTAGTATTATGAGATTCTGTCATTTAAAATTCGAAGAAAAAAAAAACATCGGGAATGCATGTAAACCGAAAGAAAATTGAACTACATGATTATTTAAAGTTGAGATATGAAGACTATCCGTTTGTCAAGTTGTTTTTGAATTAGGGATACCTTCTGTATTCTCTCATTACTATAAACTCACATGAGAAGTAGCTTGATTCTGTATAATTTATGCACTATTTATGGCTTTATATAAATGTTTAAAATTGATGTACGACGTCTCTAAGTATAGACACGTGGGAAGACTTTGTTCCCATCTCTTTATTTGAAAAATTGCGTTCAACTCCAATGCATCTTAAGGACCAATTCAATTTGAACCACTTTATTAATCTTATTTATAAATACTATATAGATTTAATTTATTGAACACCGTCATTGATCTTAAAAACATAAAAATATTAAATTCTCCTCGCCCTGTGGTTCTATAAAAAAGATCGCCGAGATTTTCACTGATGAATTCTTCGGGTACAGTGACCCTTTCTTCCATGAATATGTCCGACTGTCCTTATAAATTTAAACTTGTTTCTTAAATGTTTCTTTTGAACTTTCAAGATCTATTTTAACTCACTTGACAACAGAACTTTATTTTCAGCATTTTGTGATTATTTTTCCGTTCAAAAAATCGCGGAAAACCCTTAAAAATTGAAAAGGTCGTAATTCCGTCAAAAATCAGTGAAGTGGAACGAAATGCAAACTTGATCTGTAACTCATCAAGATACACTCACATACCAAAAATCAACTCAATATCTGCAAGCGTTTAGAAGAAAAGTTTCACCGGTAGGGGACTAAAAATGCTTTATTCTGAAAGAAACAAGCAAATAATCCTTTTCGAAATACAGAGTATTTCCAACTAAAAATGCTGATTAAAAGGATGGGTATACATGTACCAAGCCAAGTATTCCATTTATAGAATGCAAACTTTGTATATACTGTTCTGATTTTTTTTTAAACCTGATTGTGATTTTTACAGCGATTCGCGGTATGGTCATTTAAGCATGCAACGGCTATAGAACAACATTTTAACTCTCCTAGTGAACATTAAAAAAATTGTATTTTTCATGAACAATTACGAAATCCAATTTTTATAGAAGAAAACATGTAGATGTTTCTGTATAAAATATGCTTCGTCTGATTAAATAACGTACTAAGTTATTAGTTCCCTACCGGTGAAACCGGAGGGGACTATAGGTTTC